TAGAGTGTATGCTGACACCCTTCACTTAGTGGGAGGCCCGCATTTCAGCGCTGCGATGACAGCGAGCCATTGAGCTACCGTGGTCCTGTGTCTTGGTCTCGTTCCTTGCTCGGTGGTGGCTAGTGGGATTGGCATAATACCCATTAGTTTTCTCTAAGTGGTTTGACACACTATGCCTCTCTGATTTTTGCACAGTTTTTCGCATTCCTGCGTGCTTAGGAAGTGGCGATAGTTCAGGAACTTTTTGCTGTTTTGCATGCCGCTGGCGTTACAGTCCAGGTAAGGATTATGGGAGCGTGCGCTTGAAATGGGAGGGGAATGTTGTATTGGGCTGAGCTACAGTTGATCACTTTTATTTTACTGGTAATGGTTAACTAAGATTTAGTAAGTAGTAAAGTGACTGGTTGCTTGCTTCTATAAGTTGTCTGCTTCAAAGTACTGCTACCTGGACCAAAGAAGGCATAACCTTGCTTAAATGAGCCCTCGATGCTATGTGCACTGGGCAAAGTCTGCTCGGAGTGCACCGGGAATGCAGCAACGCCAAGCATACCTGCTTGTTCCACTTCTTATTATGTCCTTGCTATTGCGAGCTCATGTGGTGGACAGGAAAAAGCGGGATTTTATTATAGGATCAAATAGTCTCAAGATTTGTTTTTGGAATTTAGTGTCTCCCTACCGAGACCTTGGATAAAGCGTCACAGCGAACATGCCAGGCACCGGTGCAGAACGTCACTTACTATCGGGAACACGCTGGGCAGGAACCTGTTCTTGGAGAGGGTCTAACATTCGATCTTCTCTAAGGCAGTTAGTGGATGCTTATCATACGATGGAAGGCTGATGCCCCCTGCCTGGTGGGAATCTATGAAACAGGAAGCGAAAGTGGCAACTATCGAATTTCTGGGCCTCCCCAGCGGCACTTTTACCGAGAAGCTGCTCGCTGCATGCATACATCCCACGCTCAGCTTATTACAGTTTACTCAATCTCTCTGGGGGGCCCTCCCGACCTGGGGTCGCTACGGCAACTGCAGGTTCCCCTGACAGTGTGCGTCAGTTCAGGTTGGCAGAAGAGTATGTGCACGTCCGAGCAGTCGCTACTGATAGTGTTCGATCATATTAAGATGTTAGTAGATGTATAACCGAAATCAAGCACACTGAAGCTGTCTATCGATGACGGGAACAACGGCGTGCTGGTATTCGCTCACTGTGCAAACGCTGCTTACCAGTCCGTTGTCAATTATCTGCACTCGCTCCTTATCATACTGGAGTTATGCGTTTTGCATGATGTGTATGGCGGCATATTCGTGTAGTCCAGCACATCCAATATACAAAGAACTTGAAGCTGCGTCGTGGCTCGCCTCACGCAACAGAATTCAAGCACCATCACCATTGCTTTTCTTACTTCGGACTCTATCACTCAAAAATAGCCAACTAATTTAACAAGGGGATGCTTTATAGACGCAGGCATTCGTCGTCAAATCCTAACTTCCTACCCTCCACGGGTCGCTCGCCATCTCCTGGCTCGTATCGATGGCAACTGACGATCGCAACTGATGGCCGCTGGGAATGTCCCACGCGTTTTAAATTGGAATGGTGGTAAGCCCTCTATGAGTTGCTTTACATTTTCTTTCCATTATTGACCAGCATCAGGTTCTCTTGAAATTTTGGTTTTCTATGACTCATTATTCCCAAGCAGGAGGCGCCCGGCCGAGCCAGCGACGCTCTTTTGCAGGAATCCGTATTTCACCTCCCCCCACAGGTTTTTGGTATTATTTCTTGACTCTGTAGGTAACTATTTGTCATGCTTTGCTGTCCTAAAGGGGCAGGATCGCCTACTGCAGTGCTCATTTTTTACTGAAGCCCAACTGACCACCGGTTCGCCGCTTTGAGTGAATCAAACAGGCATTTGTGAGGCATTCAGTGGCCTTGACCCTCTATTCTTTGTCTGCGTGTTACCCTGTGTTGCCAAGGTCACAGCTTTAAGCCTGTGCCCGCGACTCTCTGGGTCGCTCAATTGCCTAGTGTGTGTTCAATTCCGCACCGCAGAGCTTGTAAACGCTGTTAACTGAACACCTTCCAAGATGGCGACAGATGGGAAGATATCCCAGCCTTTGCATCTGCCCATTCTCAAAAGGCAGGACCCAAGTGGGTCGCCTCGCCTCTATGATCCACCTAGCTCTCATCGCCTATCGGTGGCGAGCACTGGCGTTAGTGAGGGGTACACACCCTTGTTCCGATCCCCCGAAACGACCTGCAGGGTCAAGCCAGCCTCAAGTCCGAAGGCTCAGCAGGACTTCTCGATGCTCCTTCATTCACTGCCATCGACACCCTCAGAGCACGGAAGAGCTCCGCTTCAAGATACTGTTCGCAAGGCGCACCGCATTTCGCAAGCGTCTGCATATGAAACCCACAATGTCCACCTTGTGGACCCGGAGATCCTTCATGCGAAGAAATATGGGAAGACCTTGCCGCCACTCAAAGTGACCTACCAGAACATGCTGCCTGAAGGAATCACCAGTATGTGCAGATGGTCACGCGGGCTGCACACACAAGACAGCGCACGGCTCCTTGGGAACCCCGCTTTCTCTTTTTGCTTCACTAGAAAAGCTCTGTAATACAGTTCTATCGACCGCCAGTGGTAGTTATTCGATCTCTACGGGTGAATTGTGTTTCCTTGCTGCGTATATCATCTACATACTCTTGTGCAAGCGTCATGATTTTTTATGTGCCCCCGTAGCGGGCATCACATGTTTCCATCATGCTTTCCCCTGTTGTGCCATTCAGAGTCTACTGCTGAGCTTATCTTCAATATTCCCAAGGAGGCGATGCTGAAACAAGCTGGCGTCAGCGTTCATACACACGTACGATTCAGTAGACCGATCATGTAGAGCTCAACAGCAACGGCCATACTCATAGTGCTCTCTCCAACTCTCTCACAGCATTTTTGGGAGGCCTTTAAGTTGCTAAAACGGGTATTGCCGTTTGCTGTTCACGAGGCCAACACCTGCCATTTTCATAGTAACATGGTTCGATTTAATGGGCTTCTCGAATGTTTTGGGGTCACACGTAGGTGTTGTTGGCTGTTTGAAACATTTTCCCGATTTTGCATTTACAGGATCCTATGTTCACGAAAGAAGTTACGCAGTACCAGTTGGAGTATCCCTGCCCACCAGCCGCAGTCCGCAGATTCCCTGGATATGAATCCTTTCCACTGCTCCTCAGCCATTTCGAGAAACAAAAACTGGATTCAAACATAACTGATGAAGAAGATGTCAAACATCTTCGGGGACACAACGAAGCAATGCTCGAAAATGCTTGTGAGCATAAATGGAGAGTACAGCGTCACATAGATGCTCATCTTGGCACGATTACGCGTGTGTGCGAAGGCCCCGTACAACCACTCTCGCGGGAGATTAGCATATAAAGCACTGAACCTTTGAGACTATGGCTCTCTACAGATGTCCATTTCTGGTCGTTCCTGGTTGTTTAAACGCGCATTGGATAACTACTTTGCGTTACAGGCAGCCGAGAACTTGTGCCGTCCATACATACGAGGGCCACACGTGCTGTTATGTATTCATTTGCCCAGGCCTGTACTATATCTTAGCCCTTCCCCTTTTATTGCATCTGTCGAATGCATGACTTCCTCTATTCGATGTTTTTTCTTTGTGCACAGGGCGCGGGAAGCCACTGGTCAAAGGCCCTGTTGTGCGTGAGGCGTACATGCACGTCCCATCTTTTGGGCGCGTGCAAGTTATGCTGACTGAGTACCAAGACGGCACAAGTTACCCCCTTGTTACGCTTCCGAAGATGACGCCTTATGATATCCTCAACGTGTTGGAGAGGCAGCGACAGGCCAAGATTGACGCTCCCTGGCACACTCGCCTTCGCCGCTTGCTAAGGCGCCTCTCGTGTTGGGCCCTGTAGTAACACCGGTGGCCGCACCGGTTTGGGGAAGCACACGATTTATCATCACCAAAGCTGTTGACATAGGCTCTTCATTTAAAAGGTAGAAGATGAATGAAACGATCATTGATACACATGAGTATAAAAGTGTTTGTTCTCTCAGGCTCGCTGTGCCTTCCGCTGAAGCCATTTAGAAGTTTCAGACCCTCGTTGGTCCCTTCGAAAACCAGTCAGACTCCTTTGCTGCTCTCCCACAGCACGCATATTATTTCAGCACCTTCTGTGTTTTTATATTTGCGCGATTCGACGGGAATTTTGTCGAGAAAAGAGACGAGGCCTACATAAAGAAAAGGCCTTTGACATGGTTGTTACTAAAATTGAGGGACAGACCTGTTTTGTCAATTTCCTAAAGAAGGCATGCCGTATGTGAGCAGCCAGAGTCGAGGACCGTGCAGTAGAGCAGAATGGTTCCTGGAAACATCACCGTACAATTGAGCCATCAGACGCTACTAAGTATGACTTTGGGGGCAGTAGCTAATTGGCGCGTGGCCAGAATTGAACGTATGCGCAGCGTTTAGAAAAGGATACACTTGTTCTAATCTAATTGTTTTTACGTCAGGAAAGCAAGACACGCAGGGTATGGTTTGGGACAAGAAAGAAATACTAATAGGCTATTCATGGGCGGTCTTGCGCACTGTTCTGAAATATTTCTGAGTGGTTTTATCGTTTTCCCTACCCTTGTCATCATCCACAGCCAGCCAACATTTATGGGAAATGAAATTTAATAGGATGGGTGCTCCCTTGACAGATTAACCTTGACAAAGCGCGATATAGGGCATGGACAGAGGGCGCTGATGCCGCAACAAGGACGCTTAGTGATTGCCTCATATAGCCCCCAATACTTTTACTGCCTGATTATGAGCGTCATTTATTCCTTACAACTGATGCCAGTGACGTAGAGATGGGCGCTATTCTATCTCGACAGGCTCCGGAATCTCCAAAACCGCAAATTTATTGCTTCCTAGTATTGTCGCTTTACCCAAGCCAAGGAGCGGTATTGTGGGCGGAAAACCGAGCTCGATGTGGTGTAACAGGGGGTGAAAATGCTAACGGCATCTGTACGGGCGTCTGTTTACCTTCTTACCAAGCTCCAATATTAATTGCATTTTACGGTGCGTTTTCAGAGCTTTGGCAAGTCTAGTCTTGTTCAGTGGCTTGGGGACAACTCCTGAAGTATGTAGTTGAGCTGGAGGTCAGGAATGGGTATAGCATCTATGTCATTCATAAACTCAGCAAATATGCGGATTCTATCCCTTGCTCCAACGGAGTAACAGCTCAGCCTACCGCTCAGCTGCTCTTGAGCATGTCTGAAAGGCTTCGCAGATAATCCCAAAGCTTTATTACAGATAGGCATGCGAAGCTCGTTAGTGCCCGATAATAATAGACGAAGCGGAGTGTGGCCAGGTGGCTACGAACATTTGCCATCCTATCAAAAATCAGCCCTATTTCTTACTCGAGCAATTTTCGTTGCAGCTAGAAGTGCCATACAACTATCAAAATTGAATTTCTGATGCAATAGCAACAGATCAGAAATTATTTGCAGATTTTGCCGCACAATCGAGCGACCCAGGTGAGGGCGGAGGATCCAAAAGGAGCGGGAGAAGTGTTGCATTCTAGGACTACTATGCGCCGAGGATAGTGTAAAAGGCGTTTGTGAAGAAGTGGGGTGGAGAACGCGAGCTTGATTGGTTGATGAGGGAGTGATTGTGGGTTTTGTTGCTGGCGGGAGAGTTTTGCTGTTCTGATTGGTTAAATAACGGTGGTTGACACGGACGCTAGTCTTCGCTTCCGTTGCTGACTGTCCTTTCCCAGCGAATGCTCTGCCTGCAGTATCTGCCTTGTTCTATAAATATTGGTTGAAAGGCTTCCGATGGCTATTGTCTAGGTATTCTCTAATCTCA